GAACATTGTCTGGGGCAAACAGGCTGGCAGATCCAGGCAGCACGATTGCTTCACAGTTAGGGCATCAGACTCCATATCCCGCTGCAAAGGGCACTTTTTTTTTTTTTTTTTAATTGTATGAAGGCATCAAGCCGGCAGAGAAGTTACGGGTCGTCCCTTTGGTCCTGTGAAGGCGCTGTGTAGCTGTGTGTCTCCCTAGCAAATCCCATGAGCTTCTCTGAGCCTCAGTTTTCCTTCCCATTTATAAAACCAGGGGCCAGGGCTAATCACGTTCCCTCACGGTTTCAAATGCCTGTGATTTAAACCCTGCTTCATACGGAGGAGGGATGAGAACCCAGATTGCATTGTCTTTTTGTTCCGCCCCCCCCCCCCTTTTTTTTTGGACACGCAGAGCAAGGAAAGGGAGGACAGTTATCTTCCGAAAGCTGCCCCCCCCATCCCCATTGCTTGTGACAGGTCGTATATTTGATTACGCAAAGCAAATTGGGAAATCATATCTCTGCAATCCCATCTGGGATTATTTATTTCGCCGCGTCCACAGCCGGTCAAAGTTGTGAGAGGATACAATGTTAAAAGTAGCTTCCCGCGAGAGGAGGTGGATTCGAGTTCATCTGTAGAGAAACCAGAGCCATACACCCGCCGCAGCAAAGCACTTTTGTGAGACCCAGGAGTTTCCAGAAGTTATTCACCACCCCAGGCACTCGAGGCTGGTTGATCTAGCGGGTGACTCAGGCTGGTGGTGGTGGTGGTGGTGGCGGCGGGGTTCTTACCGGGCCCAGGCCCCTGTCTCCAAGCCTGGGAAGCTGGAAAGTCGTTCGCGATGGGGCGGAAGGAGATCGGGCTTCGAATTTTCCCCGGCCTCGGGGCGCTCTGCAGGCTAGCTCTCGGAGTTAAAAATAACAACCACAAACTAATACAAGTAACAACTTCCAGGTACTCCAGGTTCAGTGTGGCCGGGTCACCGAGCCAGGGGATGGATCTCCAGTGTCCTGTGCTTTGAGGTCCGCCCCCCACTTCGCAGCTGGGGAGAGTGAGGCGCAGAGGGAGGTGGGGGATGTTCCTTGCTACCACCCAGCCGGGGAGCGGCACACCAGGCATTTTACGCCCCGTCTGCCACCTCCGGAACGGAACGCGGGCGCTTGGCCTCCCAGAAAACGGTCCACGGCCCGCTACACTCCGGCGGCCTGGGGCGAGGGTGTGGGGGCCTCAAGGCACGGGGCGAGAGGTGGCCGCGCCGGGGAAGCCAAGCGCCCTCGAGCCACGGGGCAGCAGGCACTCGCCGCCTGCGGCGGGGCTGGGGGCTGGCCCGCGGGGTGCGCCTCGAGGGAAGCACCGGCCCCGGGAGTTGATCCGAAACGCGCTTCCCCCTTTTTCTTTCTCTCTTCTTTTTTTTCGAGGGGTGTTTGAAGTAAAAAAGAAAGCCACCCTTCTCAAGAAAAAGACCGCCCCTCCCCCTTCCGCTTTGTTGTTCAAGTTCCCTTGCTTGACTTGCGAAAAGAGATCTTTACACCGGTAGATCCGAGCTGTGCGGGAACCGGGAGGGGTGTGGGTGAGAGAGATTTGGGGGAAAGGGAAGGGAAGCAGAGGCAGAAGCGCTGAGCCGCTAAGAGAGAAGATCCCGCTGGCCTCCCCCCACCAAGCCGGACGCGCAGAGTCGATGGGGCGGCCCCACTGCGTTGTCGTTTCCAAGAAGGACTCCGAATTAAATTTGGTAATTTGGTGCCGGCTTACCAGCCAGAGGACTTCTGTTTCCTCACCTCACTGGTCCTCAAGCCACAGCCGACCCCTTTTTGGAGAGGAACGTGGAGAAAGGAGCCGGATCCCCTGGGCCCTCCGTCAAGCTTGTGAGGCAGGACCCTCCCCGAGCTGCATGCGAAGGCGCGTCCGGAAGTTCATGAAGCTGCTCCTACCAGGTCAAGACTCTTCTGGACACCGAGTCTTCGCAAGGACTATGCGAGGAAGGCCAGTCTTCCCGTTTTGCAGATGAGACAGCTGAGGCACAGAAAAATAATTGACCAAGATCACGCGGTCCGTGGCACAACCAGCCTAGAACTCAGGCTCTCTGATTCCTTTTGCTTCAGCACGTTTAATTTACTAACCAGTTTGTGCAACCTTAGATTCCTTTTTAATTTTCCCAGAAAAAATGAAGATAATTTCGCGTGTAATATCGGAGTTGCTCAGACTTACTGAAGCTCATCCCATGATAAAAAGCAAAACAAACCAAACCAAAACAAAACACATCCCTTTCCCCACTCTCCGCCCACATACCTCAAGCAATTGTAGGAATTGTGATTCTCTGGGGGGCCTTCAGGGCCAGGGGTTTGAAGTGTAATTCAACTGGATCACCATTACAGCTGCACGCCTCCCGAGTGGCAGGGTGCAGGGAAGGTGGTGGGACAGGTGGGGGTGAGCGTGGAAGGGGACTCCTGGAGAAAGGCAGGGAAGTATAGAGGAAGCAGTGGGGACTGTCCTGTAGGTTTCTGCTAGGGGTGGGGGAGTGCTGAGAAGGGACCGGTCGTGGGCCCACCCACCTGAAACCCATGGGCCCAATCCCTCCAGCATGCGGAGAGCGCGCCCCCCACATTGGGCCGGACACTGCACCCGGGAAGGCCGATCCAGCTGACCCACGTTCTCAGGGTTTGCTCCGAGTCCCAGGAGCCAGCACCACAGTCCTCGGGTCCCTGTACCTCCCCCCACCCCCAGCCCCCATCTCCCATCCTAGTTTCACCCATTTGGTTTACTGTACACAAGTCCCTCTTGTTTCCTCCTTGTATAGCAGCTTTGACAACTCCAACTAGTTCAGGGGCCGTTTGGGTGATTTTCTGTTTGGGAAACTGCCACTCAACGCCCCTTTGCTCTCCTGTTTCTTCCTGGTACCCCTTCCCCTCAATCTATTGCCCTCCCAAATTAGCAAACCTTTCTTGATTTTGTTTCTTAATAATCAAAATAACTAGCGAAAGGCTAATGATCCTCCCCCCCCCCAAAGCAATAAACAAAATAAAAGACCAGGGTGCCAACCGCTAGCACACAAGGCCAGCTCTGGGAGAGGTTTGTAGTTCACTTTCACGTCCAGGGGAGAAGCACTGATATGCGTGTTTGCAAAAGCAGAAATGTAGCTAGCAGGAGTAGATGCAGGAAAAAAAAAAAAAAAAAAAAAAAAAACAACCCACAATAGTTGATAAAAACATGCTGTGTCCTCTTACATGAGGGTTGCTCAGACGCCAGTTACTAAAATCAGACGGGGAGCGGGGGAATAAAAAACGTGGACCCATTGTGAGTTTTTCTGGTTAGGAGCTGAGGGCTTCGCGAAGTTTCTCAGACTTTAGGGCAGAGGCCGACCAGTTCCTTTGCTCTCTGGGAGACTACTGCGTGACCCAGGGCTCCTCTTGGAACCTCACAGTTTCATCATTGGAAAAATGTCTGGCGCTGTGGTGGTGCAAATAACGCATATCTGCTGTGGTCAAAATTTCAAATGCTCTAAGGTAGATGAACAAATGCATTTCAAAGAGTGTAAAAAACTACGCAAAAGGTGATAAAACTGGTGTCATGAGGTGGTGCCAAGAGAGAGGCACGAAGGGTCTGCGTGACTCTTTGTCCCATGTCTGAGCGCGCAAGGCTCCCAAGTTACCCTCTGAGACGCCCAGAGGGACTGAGCAGTCTCCTGGAATAAGCAGAACTGTTCCTCTGCTTCCTTTACTGGACACTGCAAGAGGCTTTGGGGAGAAGCATCCACACAAAGGGAAATGCCAGTGTCCCGTTACCAGAAAAGCGCTTTCCAACTCCGCCAAAGGCTTGGGAATACCTACCTGCGGGTCCCGCCGCCGGGTCTCGCCTTACTTCCATAGTAATTCCTAAACTGCCTCCTTTCCACCTCTCAGAACTTGGTTAATTAACTTCTTTCCCCGGGCTCCGAGAAAGGAAACGTTAGAATCAGTTCAGCGATTTCCTTCCTTTAACGCATATTTATCGCAGGCCTATTATGTGCTCCGTGCAGCAGCACTCAGTCTCCCAATTTGTCTCTCAAACCGATCCCGAGAGGCATTGATTATTTAAAGGGGTGACTAGACAAAACGCCGTCTAAGTGATTTTAAATTCACTTCAATAAATAAAATGTAGCGTTGGATTAAGGGACTAGTTCTTTAGACATGTTGGAAGTTCAATTTATTAAACATTTGTGTAAGGGATTTTTGAGAGAGACAAAGTATTTCTTTATAAATACACTCATGCACACTAAAAAAAGTCATCTTAAAAAATAGCTTCATTTTAAAACATGCTTAGAGTGGATATGTTGCACCTAAATCTCTAAATGGCACGTATTTCCGCCCTCTCCCCCCCATCGGAGAAAAATGACATCGGAGAAAAATGTAAGTGACGTCGGTGACTTGGCGACCCGCCGGCCTCATCGGTAAGATGAAAGTTACGAAGAACTACTTTGCACTTTAAGGATGAGCGGCGCTAGCCATAAAAATATCTACAGATCATTTGTCCGCCAGTCTGGCGCTGTGGTGGTGCAAGGTGACCACTGATTTAGTCTTGCAGGAGAAAGTAGGATGCAGCTGTGTGCCCGATTAGAGAGGCCTCATTTCCAAGCCCAACTTTGGGTTAATTACTGAGTCGCAGAAATACTGGACTTGCTGATAACGTAGAGACCAACACCAGTCTTTCCGACCGCTGCCTTGAGCATTACCTTCTTTTGTAAACAATGCGATTCGCAAGAGTGTGTTTCCTATTGTCCGCGAGATAAACGGCGACTTCACCCCAGCAGACCACCGTCACACTTCGGGTTTAGCGCTGGGACAGACAACCCGGCTGCACCGAACGTTGCGCGGGTGGATTCTGGAGGAGCGCCGAAGGGAGGGGCGCGACGGCCGCCAGGAGGCGGGGAGCGCCAGGCCGGCGCGCCTCGGCCAATCAGCGTGCACACCGCCTGACAACCGTCCAATTAGAGGGTGCGGTGCTCGGGGCCCCGAGCCGATAATACTAGGAAAGGGAGCAGAGACTAACTATTGCAGCCAGGGGCGCTGCGCCGCACGCAGCTGCGTACGCCCGCCGGGAGAGCCCGAAATCTGAGGCCAGGGCCGCCCAACCTTCCCGCCCAGATTGGGTCACAGGAAGCAGAAAGCAGCTCCTGCGAGGTGAAGCGCTCGGGGCTGCCAAGGACCGATTAGAACTTTGCGGAGTCCGGGATGTGCGGGGCGAGGCTGCTGAGGACTTGATTCATCTTCTCCACCCATCCCCCGTACTCCCCGTCCACTGGGCTCTGAGCCTCCAGCTGTCAGCCCCCGATTTCGTGGCAGGGTGTGGCGACCCTGATTTGTATTTGCAAGCACAGCCAGCAGCCCAAGAGCCAGGTCCTAAAGCTGGATATCTTTTGCCTCGGCTGCTAGCTCGGGCCTCAGAGTCTTGGTGAGTGCTGTGATGTCGCTCCGGGTGTCAGGGAGGGCAAAATCGCCGTTCCTTATCTTTTCTATTTTATCTGGATGTCTTGCCTTAAAGTGCAAACCATGCCCGATGTATATGGAGACCGCGCAGCTCAGCCGTGCGAGGCTCAAGCATTATTGATGTTGGAAGGGCATCTGCAGCTCCTTGCGCGGTGTCCTTATGGGTCTCTGACAGAAGAACATTTTTTGGGTTTGAGTTGACTATTTGCTAGGGGTGGGGGGCGTAAAAGGACCTCTCCAAGCTCAAAAGAGGGTCCCTGTAGTGGTGTAAGAGGATGAGGCATTTGAGAGGCATAGAATGGTACTTCGCTGGGTCTGAAGGGGTCCCTTGTGATCCAAAGGAAAGTAACTCTCCCATCGATAGTTTCATATTCATCATGGCCCTAGTAGTTGGCTATGGGGAAGCCTGACAAGTGGCCTAGGTCGGCCCAGTTGGACACAATACTTTTGTGTGTGTGATCCGTGCGTTACCCGGGGACTTGCCCCGAAAGCTGGTGTAAAGAGGCAGAGAGGTCTGTGGTTAAAGATCAGGTGCTCCTAGAGCACTTAGAATCAGTTAAGATAGAAACCTTGTTGAGTTGGGAATTTCTGGGGGCCCTAAAGGTACAAGAAACGCAGTGTGGTGTGGATGTGAGGGTCGTGAAGAGAACAGGGCTCCTCCAAGGGCCAGAGGCCCTAGACCAGGAGCTCTGGGCTCAAGGCCCGGGGGTCGGTGCCTGACGGTGGTTGGTGCGTCTTCGGGTCTTTTCGTGTCCCCCCCCCCCCCCACCAGGGCGCGGGAGACTGAGCGTAGGCCGGAGCCCGAGCGCCGCGCCGCGCGCCATGGCCGACCGGCCCGCGGGCCCGGCGGCCGGGGACTGGGAGATCGACGTGGAGAGCCTGGAGCTGGAGGAGGACGGCCGCGGGCCGCCGCCGCCTACGCCGCCCGGGCCCAGCCCGCCGTCGGCCGACGGGGACGGCGAGGACGACGAGGACGAGGACGAGGACGACGACGCGGAGGATGAGGGCGACGGCCTGGAGGCGGGCGCTTCCCCGGGG